AGGGAGCGGTAGCAGCGGTGGCAGCAGCAGGAGGAAACTGCGATGCAGCAGAGTGAGGAAGCGGGCAGCAGAAGGAGGAGAAAGGGAGGAAGGAAGGGAGGGAGGGAGGGAGGGTGCCACGGGAGGGGCAGGTGGATGAGAAGGAGGAGGAAGAGGGGGAGGAGGAGGGAAGGAGGAGGAGGAGGAGGAGGAAGACGAGGCGAAGGAGGGGAGGAGGAGAAGGAGGAGGAGAAGAGAAGCAGCAGCAGAAAGGAGCCGCAGCAGTAGTAGTAGCAGGGGGGGGAAAAGGAGGAGGAGGAGGAGGAGGAGGAGGAGGAGGGGGAGGGCGAGGTGAAGGGAAAACAGCAGCAGGAAGTAGAGGAGGAGGAGGAGGAGGAGCAGGAGCAGGAGCAGGAGCAGGAGCAGGAGCAGGAGCAGGAGCAGGAGCAGGAGCAGGAGCAGGAGCATAGGCAGGAGCAGGAGCAGGAGCAGGAGCAGGAGCAGGAGGGCGTGAAGTGATACGGCTGTGGGGCGCTTTTACCTGGTTAGCAGGAGCAGGGAGGCGGAGAAGGAGGAGGAGGAGGAGGAGGAGGAGGAGGAGAAGGAAGCGGCGGGCAGGAAGCGGCGGCGTGGGCGGGCAGGAAGCGGCGCATACGCACATAGCTCACGGAGGCCGTCGACTACCGGCTGTCAGAAGTTGAGCTGCGATGGCGCACCCGCGAGGCGGCCGCTTACCCACCGCGTGGGCGCAGCTGCGCCTCCAGGGCCGCCCCACCATGCACACGACCGCCTCCCGAGCTACGTGCCCACGGTGCGGGGAGGTCATCCCCCGCCATGGGCTCCACCCTCTGGAGGGCTGCCGCCACGCCGAAGCAGCGGCCCGCGAGCTTGCGCACGGAACGGCGTGGGAGGAGTTCCCGCCGGCGGCCATCCTCACCGGACTGCGCGCGGGCCTGGACATCGAGGCGGGGGTGGCGGTCGCCGCGAACCTGGCGCGGGAGGCCCACGCCGCGGCGGCAGCTTTTCCGGGCACGGCGTGAGCCCGGCCTGCAGCACCGCCGCCGCCGCCGCCGCTGCCGCTGGGCGCCAGGCCGAACCCCAGGCCGCTGGGCGCTGCGGCCGGGCCGCCCCGCCGCCGCCGCCGGCTGGCCCGCGCGCTGAGCCCGCGCGCCCGCCTGGGGCCCCGGGGAAACGATCCTGCGTCGAGGCAGCGTCGAGGCAAAGTCGCACCCTCGTGGGCGACCCGCGGCCCAGGCTGAGTCGTTGGCAGTGCCACGGGGCCCTCTTAGAAACTCCGTTAAGTATTGTGTTCGCCTGCCTGCCGGCGAACGCCCAGCAGTTCGAGGTGCTGGCGCCGCGTCAAGGAAAGGAGGAGGAGGAGGAGGGGGGGGAGGGGGAGGAAGAGAGGCCGGGGGATTGTGGAGTCCCTGTGGGTTCCAGACGATGTTTTACGATCGATCTTTCACGTTGCTCCTCATCATGAGTATGATATTTCCTCTCTCGCTTCCTCTCTCTCTCTCTCTCTCAATCTCTCCCACTCCCATTCCCATTCCATTCCCATTCCCAATACCAATACCATTACCATTCCCATCCCCATCCCCATTCACATTACCATTACCATTACCATTACCTCTACCTTTATCTTTATACTTACCTTTTACCATGACCATTACCATTACCACGGCCATTACAACTGCCATGGTCATTGCCATTGCCTTTCCCAGGGCCATTGCCATTGCCATTACCAGTGCCGTTGCCATTGCCATTGTATTGCCACTGCCAGTCGCCACCCCGTTACCATTACCGTTACCATTACCATTACCATTACAATTAGCATTAGCCACTACCATTACCATTGCCATTACCATTAGCATTACCAACACCATTGCCATTACCATTACCATTACCATGACCATTACCGCTGCCATCACCATTACAATTCCCATTCCCATCACCACTGCCATTACCATTACCGTCACCAGTACCATTTCCGTTACCATTACCATTACCATTGCCATTATCATTACCACTACCACTACCACTACCATTCCCGTTCCCGTTCCAATTACCACTACGATCCCCATTCCCATCCCCATTACCATTACGATTACCATTGCCATGACCATGACCATGACCATGACCATTGCCATGGCCATTGCTATTGCCATTGCCATTGCCATTGCCGTTGCCATTCCCATTGTCATTGCCATTACCATTACCATTGCCATTGCCATCGCCGTTGCCATTGCCATTGCCAGTCGCTACCCCGTTACCATTGCCATTGCCATTACCAGTGCCGTTGCCATTACCATTCCCAGTACCATTACCATTACCACTGTCATTGCCATTACCATTGCCATTGCCATTGCCACTCACCATTACCATGACCATTGCCATTGCCATTCGCCACTACCATTTCCATTGCCAGTACCATTACCATTCCGATTCACATTCACATTCCCAATACTATTACCATTACCAGTACAATTGCCATTACCATTACCTTTACCTCTACCTTTACCTTTACCCTTACCCTTACCATTCCCATTTCCGTTACCACTACCACTGAAATTTCCATTCACGTTCCCATTCCCATTCACATTCCCGTTCCCATTCACATTATCATTACCATTGCCATGGCCATTACCATTGCCAATCCCATTCCCATTGCCATTGCCATTGCCAGTCGCTACCCCGTTACCACTACCATTACCGTTACCATTACCAGTACCATTACCATTACCTCTGTCATTACCATTACCATTCGCATTGCCATTGCCATTGCCATTAGCCACTACCATTACCATTGCCAGAACCATTTCCATTGCCATGACCATTACCATTACCATTACCATTACCATTAGCATGCCAATTTCCATTACCATTATCATTACCATTACCATTACCATGACCTTCACCTCTACTTTTACATTTACCCTTACCCTTATCATTCCCCTTCCCGTTACCACTACCACTACCATTTCCATTCCCGTTCTCATTCCCATTCACATTCCCATGTCCGTTCCCATTCCCATTACCATTGCCATTACCATTACATTTACCATTGCCGTTGCCATGGCCATTATCATCGTCATTGCCATTGCCATTGCCAATCCCATTGCCATTACCATTACCGTTGCCATTGCCATTGTCTTTGCCATTGCCAATCGCTACCCCGTTACCATTACCGTTACCATTACCAGTACCATTACCATTACCTCTGTCATTACCATTGTCATTGCCATTACCATTGCCATTGCCATTGCCATTCGCCACTACCATTACCATTGCCAGTACCATGTCCATTCCCAGTCCCAGTCCCATTACCATTACCATTACCATTACCATTACCATTACCATTACCATTACCATTACCATTACCATTACCATTACCATTACCATTACCGCTGCCATCACCATTAGAATTCCCATTCTCATTCCCATTTCCAATACCATTGCCATTACCATTACCATTACCAGTGCCATTACCATTACCAGTACCACTATAATTTCCATTCCCGTTCCCGTTCCCACTCCCATTACCACTGCCATTACCATTACCATTGCCATTGCCATTACCATTACCATCACCTTTACCTCTACCTTTACTTTTACCCTTACCGTTACCATTGCCACCACCATTGCCATTGCCATTGTCATTGCCATTCCCACTGCCAATCCCATTGCCATTACCATTACCGTTGCCATTGCCATTGCCATTGTCATTGCCTCGCTACCCCGTTACCACTATCATTACCGTAACCATTACCAGTACCATTACCATTACCACTGTCATTACCATTACCATTACCATTGCCATTGCCATTGCCATTGCCATTGCCATTCGAGGGTTTCAGTAGGAATCATTCAGTGGAGGGTTTCAGTAGGAATCCACATGTGGAGGATTTCAGTAGGAATCATTCAGTGGAGGGTTTCGATAGGAACTCTTCTGTCGAGGATTTCACTGTGAATCCTTCTTATGGAGGCGTTCAATAGGAATCCTTCTAGGGGGGAGGGCAGATGTGGCCACGTCGCATTCTTTTTTTTTCTCCTGGCGCCCCCCCCCCGGGGGAGAAAAGGAAAAAAAAAAAAAAACGGAGGGGAGGGGAGGGGACGCCAGTTTTTTTCGGGGGGGGGGACGCCAGGAGAAAAAAAAAAGAAAAAAAAGCAGAGAGGTAGGAGGAGGGGGAGAGGGAGGAGGAGGAGGAGGAGGCGGAGGAGGAGGAGGAGGACGACGACACAGAGCAGAGTTTGCACAGAAACAGTCGCGAACTCAGCGCGAAAGCCTCGCGCGCGCGTTTTGGAACCACAGGGACTCCACAATCCCCCGTTCTCGAGGAAGAGGAGGAGGAGGAGAGGGAGGAGGAGGATGTGAAGGAGGAGGAGGATGAGGACGACGACGAGGGAAGGAGGAGGAGGACGAGGAGGACGAGGAGGAGGTGGAGCAACAGCACGAAAGAGCAGCAGCAGCAGCAGTAGCAGCAGGAGGGGGGAAAGGATGAGGAGCAGGAGAACGGGGAGGGCGAGGTTGAGGGGAGGCAACAGCAGGAAGAAGAGGAGAGAAGGAGGAGGAGGAAGAGGAAGAGGAGGAAGAGGAGGAGCAGGAGCAGGAGGAGGAGGAGAAGGAGGAGTGAGGAGTGAGGAGGAGCAGGAGGGCGTGAAGTGATACGGTTCTGGGGCGTTGTCACCCTGTTGTTGGGACCAGTGGCCTCGTGGGGAGGAAGGAGAGGAGGAGGAGGAGGAGGAGGAGGAGGAGGAGGAGGAGGAGGAGGAGGAGGAGGAGGAGGAGGAGGAGGAGGAGGAGGAGGAGGGGGAGGAGGAGAGAGGAGACGAGGAGGAGGAGGAGGAGGAGGAGGAGGACGAGGAGGAGGAGGGGGAGGAGGAGGAGGAGGAGGAGGAGGAGGAGGAGGAGGAGGAGGAGGAGGAGGAGGAGGAGGAAGGACGACGACGACGAGGGGGGAGCAGTGAGCAGTGCTTGAGGGATGATGGAGGGGACGCCTCCCCCGCGACGGAGCGTCCAGGCCTGAGTTGCCGAAGGCCTGCCGCGCTGGCGGCGGCGCTGCTCGAGTGGCGGCGCCGCGCTCGGGAGGCCTTAGCGAGCGCCGCGCTCCGGCGCGGCGCCCGCTGTGCGCTCGGGAGGTCGCGGTGAGAGTTGTGCGGCGGAAGCTCTATGGTGTGAACCGTGCGGTGTGGGCGCTAGTGGCGTGAGCTACATGGTGTAAGCTATGTGGTGTAAGCTATGTGGTGTGAGCCGTGCGGTGTAACGTATGTCGTGTGAGCGAATTATGTGGTGCAAGCTCCAGTGGTGAAAGTTGTGGTGCAAATTGTGTGGCTTAGTGTGGGCTATATGGCGCAAGCTGTTGTGTGCAAGCTACGATGTGCAAGGTATGTTGTGCCATGTTGGTTGGCCGACCGACGCATCCCGCCACCGTGTTTGGGTTGTGGTCATAGGCCTCTAGGATGTGTCGTTTTCTATGTCGCGGGAGGCTTATCGGAGGCCTCTTGGGGGCCTTTTTAAGCGTCTTGGAGGCCGTTTGGGGGCCTCTTGAGGCGCCTCGGGGGCCTCTTTGGGGTCTCGTGAGGCATCCTGGGGGCCTCTTGGGGCCTCCTGGGGGGGCAGAGGACTCGGATTTTCGGTTTGTGCCCCCCCCTCTCGGGCCCTTGGGGCTGTCTTTGAGCTCTCTTGGACTGTCTTGGGCGCTTCTGGGGCCGTCTTGGAGATCTCTTGGGCCGTCTTGGTGCCCTCCCGGGGACTTCTTGGGCCGACTTAGGGACGGTCGTGGGAGCCTCTTGGGCTGTTTTGGAGCGTCAGAAGCTAGAAAAATGTCAAGACATAAGGACAATAAATGATGTTGGCCTCTCGGGGCCCTCTTGGGAAGGCTCCTGGAGCTTTCTAGGAGCGCCTCGAAGGCTTCTTGGGCCGTCTGGGGCCATCTTGGGCGTCTTGGACCGATCGTGCGGCGATTCGGGGCCCACTTCCCTCTTGCCCTCTCGGGGGCCCTCTTGGGGCCCAAACAGATCACGCGAGAAGCTGCGGAGAGTCCAAGGGGCCACGCTGAAAGCCCAGAAGATTTGGCGACGTCGGCTCTGGGTCTGTGAAATCATCCCCAGGGTTGCGGGCTGAGGCCCCCGGAGATTCAGCAAGGGCCTGGGGACGTTCCAACCCCCGTGCTTCGAGGGCACGGCGGCGGATGTGTGGTGCACAAGCCACTGCGTGCAGGCTGCGTGGTGCAAGCTGTGTTCTGTAAATTCCGTGGTGTGAGCTACATCCCCAGGCCGAAAGTTTTTTCCTCTTGGACTAAAAGTATGAGGACATGTGGGGCTCAAGAGGAAAATCTCTCGGCCTGCGTAAGTGAGATTTCGAACTGCGTCTCCTGCGTGGAAATGCGAGAGGGGTGCTAAGTCCTTCATCCCCAAGCCGAAAGTTTTTCCTCTTGGATTAAAATATGAGAACATGTGGGGCTCAAGATGGAAATCTTTCGGCATGCGTAAGTATGAGCTGTAATCGGCGGCGAGCCCCGGGGGAAGTGAAAGGGGTGGGCCTTCTCAGAAGGCTGGGAAGTCCCCCGGCCTTCTGAGAAGTTATCTGAGCCTCTCCTGGAGACACCGAAGAATTCTCAGAAGGCGCGAGGGCGTCTGAGAAGCCCCGCCGCTTTCTGAGAAGGCCTTTCGCTTCACCCCCTCGCTCGCCGCCGCTATGAGCTGCAAGGTACGGTGCGGGCGCTCGTTAAGGAATCCGCCCGAAGGGCTTTAAGCCCCGGAGGGTCCCTTCTCTGATGCGGGCGACGATGATATCGATGGCAGATCCACGAGTCGAGTTCCACCAGGTTCCAGGCCCTGGATCCCTGATCTACTGGTTCCTTGTCCAACGCCCCCCCCGTGGAAAGGGCCACCCGAGGACGACTCCGACGCCGAGCGGCCCGGCGGCGAGCCCGAGCGTCGCGCGGAGGGCGGACACCGGCGGCGTCGGACCGCGAGGCGGCCTTCTGGCGCGAGAGCGGCGCGGGCGGGTCGCGGTCGCTCGTGCCCGCGAAGGAGTCCGCTTGCATGCGCGGGCCTCCAGGGGCCCCTGAAGCGGGAAAACCCAAAAAATGAAAAACAAAAAACAAAAAACATCGATACATATATATATATATATATACCTACATATACATATATACATATACATATATACATACATACATACATACATACATACATACACACACATACACACATACATACATACATGCATACATACATACATACATACATACATACATACATGCATACATATATATTTATATATGTATTCCTCTCCCTATGTTTTAACAAGCCCGGGCGGATTCCCGGGATCTGGGACTTTGGGACCCTCCAGACGGGCCTCGAAGCGGCCCCCGGGCCTCGCAGGGCGTTTTGCCAAGCCTTCCCAGCACAGCTAGGGCGATCAGGGGGGTCATCGGAGACGTCCCAGAGACCCCCAAGACAGCACAAGAGCGCTCCAAGAGTGACCGACGTGACCTCAAGATGGCCCAAGAGGCCTCCAGGACGGCCCCAAAGAGGCCTCCAAGAGCACTCCCAAGAAGGCCCCCCGAGGCAAGAATCATTGATTTTCTGCGGGTTATTGGTGAATTTTGGGGTTCTCCTCTTTTCGGCTTCCCGACGCTCCAAGACGGCGGTCTTCTAGGCGTCCGAAGCCGCCTGGGAGGCTCCAAAATCGCCCCACAACCATCCGAAAGGGCTTCCAGGCAGTCCAAGAGAACCCCAAAACGGCACAACACGGGTCCAAGATGGCCCTCAGAGAGCCTCATGGCGGCCCAAGATGGCCCAAAGACACCCTCCGAAGAATTCCAAATCGTGACCCCGTCGTTCAGGGAGACCGCGGTTGGAGGCAGGGTGGCCCGAGGAAGCCCCTGGAGGCCCCCAGAATACGCCCAAGAGGCCTCCAGAATGCCTCAAGAAAGCCTGAAACAACTTTTGTGAGGCCCCCAGAGGCTCTCCAAGGAGGAGCCTCTGCAAACAAGAGCTGAGGAAGATGGGGAGGATGCGCAGGGTATGGCGGAAAGAAGGAGAAAGAAGCATGGAGGAAGGATAACGAATAACATTATTGTAGCGGCGATGCCGGAAAAGGCAACCAGGAGTTATCGCTAAAATGTCGGCTTGACCTTCCTGCTATTTCGCCTGCATGCCAAACTTCAAGGACCAAGGTGCATGGCGCGAAGCGCCACTGCAGTCTTGTATATATATATATATATATATATGTATGTATACCTCTTCTTATATTTTTATAAGGCCGGGCGGGGGGAAAACCCGTCACCCCCCCCACACCCCCCCAAAACCGGACTCCCGGGACCTGGGGCTTTGGGGCCCTCCGGACGGGCCTCGAAGCGGCCACCGGGCCTCGCACGGCGTTTTGCCAAGCCTTCCCAGCACACTTAGGGCGATCAAGGGGGTCATCGGAGACGTCCCAGAGACCCCAAGACAGCACAAGAGCGCTCCAAGAGTGACCGACGTGACCTCAAGATGGCCCAAGAGACCTCCAGGACGGCCCCAAAGAGGCCTCCAAGAGCACTCCCAAGAAGGTCCCCCCGGCAAAAATCATTGATTTCCTGTTGGTTTTTGGTGAATTTTGGGGTTCTCCTCTTTTCGTCTTCCCGACGCTCCAAGACGGCGGTCTTCTGGGCGTCCGAAGCCGCGTGGGAGGCTCGAAGCGGCCCCCGGGCCTCGCAGGGCGTTTTGCCAAGCCTTCCCAGCACAGCTAGGGCGATCAGGGGGGTCATCGGAGACGTCCCAGAGACCCCCAAGACAGCACAAGAGCGCTCCAAGAGTGACCGACGTGACCTCAAGATGGCCCAAGAGGCCTCCAGGACGGCCCCAAAGAGGCCTCCAAGAGCACTCCCAAGAAGGCCCCCCGAGGCAAAAATCATTGATTTTCTGCGGGTTATTGGTGAATTTTGGGGTTCTCCTCTTTTCGGCTTCCCGACGCTCCAAGACGGCGGTCTTCTGGGCGTCCGAAGCCGCCTGGGAGGCTCCCAAATCGCCCCACAACCATCCGAAAGGGCTTCCAGGCAGTCCAAGAGAGCCCCAAAACGGCACAACACGGGTCCAAGATGGCCCTCAGAGAGCCCCATGGCGGCCCAAGATGGCCCAAAGACACCCTCCGAAGAATTCCAAATCGTGTTTCGGTCGTTCAGGGAGACGGCGGTTGGAGGCAGGGTGGCCCGAGGAAGCCCCCAGAGGCCCCCAGAATACGCCCAAGAGGCCTCCAGAAGGCGTTAAGAAAGCCCGAAACAACTTTTGTGAGGCCCCTAGAGGCTCTCCAAGGAGGAGCCTCCGCAAAAAAGAGCTGAGGAGGATGGGGAGAATGCGCAGGGTATGGCGAACATAAGGAACAATAAGCATGGAGGAAGGATAACGAGTAACATCATCATAGCGGCGATGCCAGAAAAGGCAACCAGGAGTTATCGCTAAATTGTCGGCTTGACTTTCCTACCATTCCGCCTGCATACCAAACTTCAAGGACCAAGGTGCATGGCGCGAAGCGCCACTGCAGTCTTGTGTATATATATATAGATACAAGACTGCAGTGGCGCTTCGCGCCATGCACCTTGGTCCTTGAAGTTTGGTATGCAGGCGGAATGGTAGGAAAGTCAAGCCGACAATTCAGCGATAACTCCTGGTTGCCTTTTCTGGCATCGCCGCTATGATGATGTTACTCGTTATCCTTCCTCCATGCTTATTGTTCCTTATGTTCGCCATACCCTGCGCAGTCTCCCCATCCTCCTCAGCTCTTTTTTGCGGAGGCTCCTCCTTGGAGAGCCTCTAGGGGCCTCACAAAAGTTGTTTCGGGCTTTCTCATGGCCTTCTGGAGGCCTCCTGGGCGTATTCTGAGGGGGCCTCCGGGGGCTTCCTCGGGCCACCCTGCCTCCAACCGCGGTCTCCCTGAACGACCGAATCACGATTTGGAATTCTTCGGAGGGTGTCTTTGGGCCATCTTGGGCGGCCATGGGGCTCTCTGCTGAGGGCCATCTTGGACCCGTGTTGTGCCGTTTTGGGGCTCTCTTGGAATGCTTGAAGCCCTTTCGGATGGTTGTGGGGCGATTTGGGAGCCTCCCAGGCGGCTTCGGACGCCCAGAAGACCGCCGTCTTGGAGCGTCGGGAAGCCGAAAAGAGGAGAACCCCAAAATTCACCAATAACCCGCAGAAAATCAATGATTCTTGCCTCGGGGGGCCTTCTTGGGAGTGCTCTTGGAGGCCTTTTTGGGGCCGTCCTGGAGGCCTCTTGGGCCATCTTGAGGTCACGTCGGTCACTCTTGGAGCGCTCTTGTGCTGTCTTGGGGGTCTCTGGGACGTCTCCGATGACCCCCCTGATCGCCCTAAGTGTGCTGGGAAGGCTTGGCAAAACGCCTTGCGAGGCCCGGTGGCCGCTTCGAGGCCCGTCCGGAGGGCCCCAAAGCCCCAGGTCCCGGGAGTCCGGTTTTTTTTGGGGGGGGGTGATGGGTTTTCCCCCCGCCCAGGCTTATAAAAATATAGGAAGAGGAACATGCGTGTATACAGTAGAGAATGCCCCCGCCGTATGCGGCGCCCACGAGGCGCGAGCGGGCACGACGCGGGCGCGAGCCTGGCGGACCACCTCGGGGAGCCCAACCCCCCCTTTGCGCACGCCCGGGGCGGGCGCCCGCTCTCCTCACGAGCGGGGCACGGGCGCGAACGGTGGAAGAGAGCTGCGGGAGAAAGCTTAAGTCGGGCGTGTCCCCCCTACAGCGGGATTTTCTACGAAGAATAAGAAATACCCCAAAAATATTCCAAAAAGGTCAAAAATATGTTTTAAAAATGGTCCCCAGACTATTTTTTGATTATTTGTTCATTACTTTTGGTGCGTATTTTTTATTGTTAATCGAAAATCCCCCTGTAGGGGGACAGGCCCGACCTAAGAGAAAGCCCACCAGATCAGCGCACGGGGCGCCCGCGAGGGGGCCCCGGGCGCGAGCGTGCGCCGAGATCCCGGGAAGCCCGTGCCATTCGTTTCGCTTGGCATCGCTCGGACGTGTGTGTGTTTTTGCTCGGCGAGGGGCATCCTGGATCACTGAACAACAAAAAAAAACACGCACGAGACAGACAAATGCACGGGGAATGGGCGTCCGAGCGACGGCGAGTTAGGGCTCCCAGATGGGTCGGAGGATCGCGCCGCATCGTCGATGCATCGCCGATGCATCGCCGATGCGGCTCGATGTGGAGCCCGATGTGTTCCGCGTCGACGCCGCCGATGCATCGCCCACGTCGGCGATGCATCGCCGGTGCATCACTGATGCATCGCCGGTGCATCGCCGATATATTGGCAATGCGGCGCGATCCCCCGACCCCATCTACTCCTACCCCATCTAGGAGGCCTCCTCATTCGTCAAGGAAGACCTACGTGCATGCGATGTCCGAGAAGTAAATGTGTGTGGTGTGTGTACGCATGTGTGTGTGTGTGTTTTTCCAAGGCCAGCGTTTTTGGTGTCGGCTTCGGCCTCTGGGGAGAGGGGGGGTCGGCCCCCCCGGCCATCGAACAATTGCACACGCTGAAGGAATCTCGCCACCGGAGGTCTTGGGGCCCGCGGGCCTTCCCAGACCTTCCTCCTGGAGGAGGAGGAGGAGGAGGAGGAGGAGGAAGAGGAGGAGGAGGAGGAGGAGGAGGAGGGGGAGGTGGAGGGGGAGGGGGAGGGGGAGGCGGAGGCGGAGGAGGAGGAGGAGGAGGAGGGGGCTCGGGTCCGGACGGGCGGCGGCTCCAAGGCGTCGTGCCACCCGGGCGCTGCTGCGCAGGACGCGCGCTCTCTTTGGAGGCGTCCGAAAGGTTCTTGGGGGGCTGCAGGAAGTTCACAGAGGGGACGAGGCCGAAGAGGAAAGGAGGAGGAGGAGGAAGAGGAGGAGGAGGAGGAAGAGGGGAGGAGGAGGAAAGATGAGGCTGACGGGTTTGAGATTGTTGTCTGGCCGTTGGAGGCCTCCAGAGACTTGTATGATTGTCTCAACCAAAGCGTTTTCCTGGGTTGCAGCCTCGGGAGGCCATTAGCGGGCCCCGGGACAATCAAAACGCATCTGGGGCGGAAAATTGGCCCCGGGGAAGGGGTCGGAACCTTTGTAGCCGCGCTTTGAAATACATACCGTAGCACCCCGCAATTGCGGATAAGAGTGAGGGGGCGGGCGCGGGCGACGCAGGGTTCGAGCCGGCGGACCTCGTGGCCCTCACCTTCCTTGTCGATGGCGCCCTCCTCCTGCTCCTCCTCCTCCTCCTCCTGCTCCTCCTCCTCTTCCTCGTCCGCGTCCTCGTCCTCATCGTCGTCGTCGTCGTCGTCCGCCTCCTCCTCCACCTCCTCCTCCTCTTACTCCTTTTCCTCCTCCTTTGCCTCCTCCTCCTCCTCCTCCTCCTCCTCTTCCTCCTCCTCCTCCTCCTCCTCCTCCTCCTCCTCCTCCTCCTCCTCCTGCTCCTCCCCCTCCCTCCTCCTCCTCCTTCTCCTCCTCCTCCTCCTCCTCCTCCTCCTCCTCCTCCTCCTCCTCCTCTTCCTCCTCTTTCTCCACATTCTCCTTACATTCTCTCTTCTTCCGCGTCCTCCAGGGGGATCGCTGGTGGGCCACACGGAACGAATGCAAAAACAGCCCGCCGCAGGCGCCGAAGTTTTGGCTTGTTCAGTGAACGTAGATTGGGTCGCGGGTGGGTCGCGGGCTCTCCACCTCCACCTGAAAGAAATTCAAAAACAGCCCGCCGCAGGAGCCGAAAAATTTGTTTTGTACGCTGAACGCGGTTTGGGTCGCAGGTTCTCCACCTGGAACGAATGCAAAAGAAGCCCGCCGCAGGCGCCGAAAATTTTGGGTGGGTCGCGGGGTGGGGCGCGGGTGGGTCGCGGTGGGTCGCGGGTGGGTCGCGGGCGCGGTTTGGGTCGCGGGTGGGTCAGTTTCCACTTGGAACGAATGCAAAAAAACCCGCCGCAGGCGCCGAAAATTTTGGGTGGGTCGCGGGGTGGGTCGCGGGTGGGTGGGTGGTCGCGCGGGTGGGTCGCGGTGTGTCGCGGGTGGGTCGCGGGTGGGTCGCGGGTGGGTCGCGGGCGGGTGCGGTCGGTCGCGGGTGGGTCGCGGTGGGTCGCGGGTGGGGCGCGGGGTGGGTCGCGGGTGGGTCGCGGGTGGGTCGCGGGTGGGTCGCGGGGTGGGTCGCGGGGTGGGTCGCGGGGCGGGTCGCTGGTGGGTCGCGGGGTGGGTTGCGGGGTGGGGTTGGCGGGGGTCACGGTGGGTCGCGGGGTGGGTCGCGATTCAGCCCTTTCATTCTGATCAGAGTGAGGGGGCTGAATCGAACGGTCATTCACTGTCCCTGAGTGCGTGGCTGAAGTGGAATTTCGCGATTCGGATTCTTGTTGTTATTGTTGTTGTTTGTTGTTTGTTGCTGTCGTCGTCCCACCCGCGACCCGTCCCGCGACCCACCCACGACCCACACCCCTTGACCCCCCGCGACCCCCCACGACCCACCCCTTGACCCACCCGCGCCCACCCCATGACCCACACCACGACCCACCCGCACCCACCCGCGACCCACCCCGCGACCCGCGCCCCCCCCCCGCGACCCACCCGCGACCCCCGCGACCCACCCCGACGACCCCTCGACCCACCCGCGACCCACCCGCGACCCACGCCGCGACCCGAACCCCCCGCGACCCACCCGCGACCCACCGCGACCCACCCCCCAACCCAAAATTTTCGGCGCCTGCGGCGGGCTTCGTTGCATTCGTTTCCAGGTGAGAACCTGCGACCCACCCGCGACCCACCGTGACCCACCCGCGACCCACCCGCGACCCACCATGCGACCCACCCAAAATTTTCGGCGCCTGCGGCGGGCTTCTTTCGCATTCGTTCCAGGTGGAAAACCCGCGACCCAAACCGCGTTCAGTGTTCAAATCACAATGTTCGGCGCCTGCGGCGGGCTGTTTTTGAATTCCCTCCAGGTGGATGTGGAGAGCCCGCGACCCACCCGCGACCCAAACTACGTTCACTGAACAAGCCAAACCTTCGGCGCCTGCAGCGGGTTTTTTTTGCATTCGTTCCGGGTGGAGAACCTGCGACCCAAACCGCGTTCAGTGTACAAATCAAAAGTTTCGGCTCCTGCGGCGGGCTGTTTTTGAATTCCTTCTAGGTGGAGGTGGAGAGCCCGCGACCCACCCGCGACCCAATCTACGTTCATTGAACAAGCCAGCACTTCGGCGCCTGCGGCGGGCTGTTTTTGCATTCGTTCCGTGTGGCCCACCAGCGATCCCCCTGGAGGACGCGGAAGAAGAGAGAATGTAAGGAGAATGTGGAGAAAGAGGAGGAGGAGGAGGAGGACGAGGAGGAGGAGGAGGAGGGGGAGGAGGAAGAGGAGGAGGAGGAGGAGGAAGGGGAGGAGGAGAAGGAGGGAGGAGGAGGAGGCAGAGGAGGAGGAGGAGGAGGAGGGGAGGAGGATGGGGAGGAAGGGAGGCGGAGGAGGAGGAGGAGGAGGAGGAGGGGAGGAGGAGGAGGAGGAGGAGGAGAGGAGGGGAGGAGGATGAGGAGGAGGAGAAGGAAGATGATGAGGAAAAGGAGGAAGAGGAGGAGGAGGTGAAGGAGGAAGAGGAGGAGGAGGTGGAGGAGGAGGAGGAGGAAGAGGCGGACGACGACGACGACGACGACGACGACGACGACGACGACGACGACGACGACGGCGACAATGAGGACGAGGACGCGGACGAGGAAGAGGAGGAGGAGCAGCAGGAGGAGGAGGAGGAGGGCGCCATCGACAGGCAAGGTGAGGGCTACGAGGTCCGCCGGCTCGACGCCCGCGTCGCCCGCGACCGCCCTCTCACTCTTATCCGCAATTGCGGGGTGCTACGGTATATATATATATATACATATATATATATATACAAGATTGCAGTGGCGCTTTGCGCCATGCACCTTGGTCCTTCAAGTTTGGTATGCAGGCGGAAGGGCAGGAAGGTCAAGCCGACAAATTAGCGATAACTCCTGGTTGCCTTTTCCGGCATCGCCGCTATAATGATGTTATTCGTTTTCCTTCCTACATGCTGATTGTTCCTTATTTTCGCCATGCCCTGCGCATTCTCCCCATCCTCCTCAGCTCTTTTTTGCGGAGGCTCCTCCTTGGAGAGCCTCTAGGGGCCTCACAAAAGTTGTTTCGGGCTTTCTTATGGCCTTCTGGAGGCCTCCTGGGCGTATTCTGGGGGCCTCCGGGGGCTTCCTCAGGCCACACTGCCTCCAACCGCCGTCTCCCTGAACGACCGAATCACGATTTGGAATTCTTCGGAGGGTGTCTTCGGGCCATCTTGGGCCGCCATGGGGCTCTCTGAGGGTCATCTTGGACCCGTGTTGTGCCGTTTTGGGGCTCTCTTGGACTGCCTGGAAGCCCTTTCGGATGGTTGTGGGGCGATGTGAGAGCCTCCCAGGCGGCTTCGGACGCCCAGAAGACCGCCGCCTTGGAGCGTCGGGAAGCCGAAAAGAGGAGAACCCAAAAATTCACAAAAAAACATACAATGTCCATGATTTTTGCCTCGGGGGGCCTTCTTGGGAGTGCTCTTGGAGGTCTCTTTGGGGCCGTCCTGGAGGCCTCTTGGGCCATCTTGAGGTCACTTCGGTCACTCTTGGAGCGCTCTTGTGCTGTCTTGAGGGTCTCTGGGACGTCTCCGATGACCCCCCTGATCGCCCTAGGTGTGCTGGGAAGGCTTGGCAAAACGCCTTGCGAGGCCCGGTGGCCGCCTCGAGGCCCGTCCGGAGGGACCCAAAGCCCCAGGTCCCATGAGTCCGGTTTTGGGGGGGGGGGATGGGTTTTCCCCCCGCCCGGGCTTATAAAAATATAAGAAGAGTAGATATATATATATATATATATATATATATATACATACATACATACATACATACAGACATACGTACGTACGTACGTACATACATATATGTATGTAAATACACACATAACAACCTTTCGACCTGGTCCCCGGGCCTGGGGGCAGGGGGGGGCATTTTTTCAAAACTTCCCCACCCTCCCCGCTCTAGATTTTAGTTATTCGGGCTAGAGGGCCTTTCAACGCTCCGAGCGATTTTCCAGGCCCCCAGAAGCCTCCAGGATGGCCCAGAGGACGCCAAGAGGCCGCCAAGACAGACCAACGTGGCCAAAGAGGTTCCTAGATGGCCACAAGCTGGCCAGAAGAGACCGCACGGACCGCGCGAACGGGTCGAGCAGGGCCCGCGAAAAGGCCTTGAGAAGCAAACTTTGTCGAGGTTCAGGAAGATGTCGTTATGCTCGCTTCTGATGGGTTGCTGAGGCTTCTGGATTGTCAAATGACCCAAGGCTGCTCCAAGAGGAGCCCACAAGGCCACAAGACGGTCCCAACAGTGCCCCAGAGCCTCCCATGACGGCACCAGAGACCTCCTCCCAGAGTGTCCTCCAGACGGCTTCCGACAGCGTGAGCCCGAGTGCGCTTGAAGACGGTCCACCGGGGCCCCTAGGACTCTTCGAGATGGCCCCGAGACGGCTGCAGATGGCTTTACGACGGCCTTCGAGGTCTCCATGACGGCCCAACGTGACCTTCAGACGGCCAAGGCAGCTCGAGGTGGCCCCCAGACGGCCCCAAGAGCCCCCCAAGAGGCTGCCTAGAGGCCCCCAGGCCCCCAGGAAGGCCAAACCCGTCGGTTCGGCTCCCTGCGTATTCTCGGGGAGAGGCCTCCCGAAGCCAAGAAATGTGTGCTGCACTGACAGCGCCCTCAGTGCAGCGTCTTTCCCTGATTCCGATGGTCGTCGGGAATGACACGACTCATCTGGCACGGGCCTCTTGAGTCCCAAAAGACTACGCTGCACCTAAGGCGCTCGAAGTACAGCGGCTTTTCACCCCCCAGGTCGGATGGTCGTCTGGCCTCCCACGATTTTCCTGACGCAAGCGCCTCTGGAGTGCCAGTCGAAAGGCCTTCGGCCCATCCCGCCACAGTGCCTGGGTTGTGGGTCAGAGTTCTCAGGGATGTTTCTTCGGGTCTCTTCGGAGCGCTCTCAGGGGCCACTTGGGGGCAGTTTGGGGGCCTCTTCCGAGCCTCTTGATGGCCTTTTTGAGGCATTTTGGGGCCTCTTGGGGACCTGTCGGGGCCTCTTGGGAGCCCCTTGAGAGCCTCAGCGGGGCCGAAGGCTTGAAATGTGCATTCGGGTTCCCCATCTAGGCCCTTTCTTGGGGCCGTCTTTGGGCCCTCTTGGGCCGTCTTGGGCGCCTCTTGGGCCATCTTGGGAGCCTCTGGGGCCGTCTTGGGGCGATCTTGGGGGCCTCGTGGGCCGTCGTGGAGCGTCGGGAAGCAGAAAAGGCGAGAACGCCAAAATCGATCAAAAGTCGATGGAAACTCAATGATTTGTGCCTCTTGGGGCCCTCTCGGGAGGCCTCTTTGGGCGTCTTAGAGGCCTTTTGGGCCGTCTTAGGGCCATCTCGGGCGTCTTGGACCGATCGTTCCATGACTCGGGGCCGTCTTGGGAGCCTCTTGGGGCCCTCTGGGCTCATCTTGGGACCCTCTTGGGCCCGAAAATTTCACGCGAGAAGGCGCGACAAGCCCCGGACGAGACGCGCCAAGCCCCGGCAGATGTGGCTATTTGGGGCCCGGGCCTTTCGCAGACCCCTCAGGACTGAGGATTGAGGCTAAGAGGATTGGGCCCAGGACCTGAGGACACGCCCACTCCGTGCCAAGCGGCACGGTTGCGCATATTTCGGAGCAAGCGCGCACAGGTACGATGAACTTCTGGTGGGGCACGATCCGCGTGAAGGGATTGCCGAATAAATTGGATGCCCCCGCGAGGCCGTGGGGGGAGCTCCCTGTGGGGCACGATCAGTGTGAAGTATGCGTCGAAATGGTCGGGGGGACACCATGCGGAGTTGCCCATTTGGCCATAGGTGGCGCCCCTCTTCCGGGGCACGATTCGCGTGAGGGTGTGCCGTTCTGGACGATGGGATGTTGTGCGAACCTTGCCTCCGCGGCCGCAGGTGGTGCTCCCTGTGGGGCACGATCCGCGTGAGGCGCGTGCCGAACAGGGCGGAGAGGCGTTACGCGAACCTTGTCTCTGTGGCCGTGGATGAAGCTCCCTGCGAGGCACGATAGGTAAGAGGGGTGTGCGGAAGTAGGCGCGGGGGCGGGATGCGAGATGGTCCAAGCGCTCCAAGAGAGATTCCTCACCACCAACCATCGTCTCAAAGCGGTTGGTTGTGTTATACAGCCTGGTTCTCAGGTATCCTCCGCCCATATCATGTTCCGGTTGTCAGCTATGCTGCGGAGGAGGACCGCATGATGAGGAGGAATAGGAGGAGCAGCAGCAGCAGCAGGTGGAGGGATTGGAAGTGGAGATGGAGAAGGAAGATGTTGATGATGATGATGACGATGAGGAGGAGGAGGAGGAGGAGGAGGATAGGGATGAGGATCGGGATGAGAATGAGGATAAGGATGGTGATGGTGATGGTGATGGTGATGGTGATGGTGATGGTGATGGTGATGGTGATGGTGATGGTGATGGTGATGAGGAGGATGAGGATGAGGATGAGGATGATGAGGATAAGGATGATGAGGATGATGATGAAGATGAGGGTGAGGATGAGGATGAGGATTGCGATGAGGATGAAGAGGATGGGGATGAGGATGAGGATGAGGATGAGGATAAGGATAAGGATAAGGATAAGGATAAGGATAATGATGATGTTGCTGATGATGATGATGGGGAAGGAGGAAGGGTGATTACGGCAAGAAGGACGGAGGGAGGCCCGACAGAGGGTTTAAGGATGCGTCGGAGGAGGAAAAAGAGGAGGAGGAGGATATTCCCATAATTTCCTTCTGGGGCGACTCATGCTGGAGTCCTCTTGAAGGAGAGAGGAGGAGAGAGAGAGAGAGAGAGAGAGAGAGAGAGAGACAGAGAGAGACAGAGAAAGAGAGAGAGAGAGACAGAGAGAGACAGAGAGAGACAGAGAGAGAGACAGACAGACAGACAGACAGACAGACAGACAGACAGACAGACAGACAGACAGACAGACAGACAAAGAGAGAGAGGTAGAACGAGAGAGAGAGAGAGGTCGACAGAGAGAGAGAGAGAACAAACAAAGAGAGAGAGAGAGAGAGAGAGAGGTCCAAGCGCCCCCCAATCCAAGCGTCCCCCAAGAGGCCCAGAGAGGGTCCGCGCAGGCCAACGAGGAGACCAGTCTGGCACGCGAGAGCCCCAAGGCGCCCCCAAACGGGCTTCCGGGCAGGCTCGTGAGAGATTTCAAAGTTCGTTTTGGGAACCCCAGTTTCTTTTCCCTACAGTGACTCGTAGAGCTTCCTGAGAGCGAAGCAGCGAAGCTAGAGAGTAATTCTGGCGCGCTGGCGGGCTAGTTGGCCCGAAAAAATCGAAGGATTGTTTTTCTAAGACGGCCCGACATCGTTCCGAGGCGGCGTAAGATGGGCCGAAAGCGGCCCATCTGCCGCCTCAGCGACCCTCGAGACGGCCAGGAGCGACCCCGAGTAGCCCAAGAGGGGCCGAAGGCGATCTAACAAAATCCCAAGACAGCCCTTCCATCATGCGTCCAGCAGGCTCCAAGACCATGCACAAATGGCTGGAAGAAGCCAGGAAGCTCATCGATGATGCACCCGAGACGGGGTGCGTTGCATGCGTGTTGCCCATTGTGTGCGTAACGTTTGCACGTAGCGCCCACGTTTGCACCTCGTAGTTTGCACATTCAGACTGCAAAAAGTCAATGTTGGAGATCCACACCAGCAAACTTGATTGCACTGCTGTACGAACTGCTGGCGTATGGGTGGAAACATGTGTGTTTGCAGCAGAGAGTTGAAGAGCGCCACGCAACAGTATCGCAGCGCTTGTCAATGCGAGAACGTTGACAGTTCCAAGTCAGTGTTCATCGCGGGCTTCTATCTAGAAGTCCAACTGGTTGTGACGTGGTCCAGTCTTGCGATAGAACCTGAGCGCGCGCGCAGTGCGCGCGTGATTCTAGTATGTATATATGTACATACAACGCGTACATGCATACTTCTGTAGATAGATACACCGTATAATGGTTGGGCACTCCGTACCCTTCTCCCCCTCCTGTTCCTCCTCCTCCTCCTCCTCCTCCTCCTCCTCCTCCTCCTCCTCCTCCTCCTCCTCAATGTTCGGATGTGGCCGCGAACGTGAAAGTAGCGACCGTGTAGGAGCGAACGATGCTCGCACGGAGTTCACGGAGCAGCCGAGGAGGGAAAGCGGGGAAGGAGGGACTCCTCTTTCCCCTCCCTAGGCCGACGTTGTGGCATTTTTCGACGCGGGTTCCAGGTCTCTCGATCAAATATCCTCGGGACTGTTTTTTATCCTGGGTAGTTCTTGATGGCCCTGGGACCCGAAAATGGCCCTGGAGGCCGAAATCACAGGCGAAACGGCAGTCGTGATTGTGCCCGAGAAGGTAGACATCCCGACCCTCCTATCCTTCCTTCCCCTCCCCTCTCCGCCTGCACCATTATTCTCCTCCTCATCCTCCTCATCCTCTTCCTCCTCCTCCTCGGCGTCCTCCCCTTCATTGTCCTACGATGGTCTTCACGTCCTCCTGCTCCCCCCCAACCTTCCACTCCCTTCGCTGCCTCGATACGCCCTTTTTGAAACGCAACAGGTGCCGTGCTCAAAACGTAGGTGTCAATACGTCCCGTGTTGGCTCAACGTATTGGCCCACGTTCTGGCGGACGCATCGCGTCAGACCTACGTGCTCAGTCCACGCGTTGAGCTTCGCATCGACACGCTACGCGCTGCGTGTTGCATACCCATCGGGGCAGCTGGGTCCACCCCCCTCCTCCGCGTCCACTCCCCCTCCCGATCCCCCGCCCCGTCCCCCTCCTCCCTCTGGAGGGTTCCAAAGGGGGCTTGGGGGGAGGAGGTTCTCCAGAGAGACCCCCAGGGGCCTCGGAACCTCGTCAAGACGGGGGGTGCGCAGCCCCTGGGGGAACCCATCCTGGAAAACCCCCTCCCCAAAAGCCCCCCCCTTTGGAACCCTCCGGCCCCTCGAACCCGTCGAGCCCGCTCGACGCTCCTCCGCTCTCCGCTCGAGCCCCTCGAGCCCCCCTTGGCGCCCTCCGCTCTCCTGCCGCGGCCCGTCGAGCCCGCTCGACGGCCCTCCTGGGCGCACGGGCAGCGCAGGACGGTGTCCGCGGTGGCTGCGCGCTCGCACCGCCTCCAGCTCGCGGGCGCCACAGCGGGCCTCCCCCGCCGCCGCTGCACGGGAGGGATCTCGGGAGCGGAGCGGCGCGCGCCGGTGACCGCACCGAGGCGGGGCCTGGGTTGGCGGCGAGCGGTAGGGTGAAGTCGGGCGTGTCCCTCTACGGGAGGAGCATGCAAAAATGGTAGAGCAAAATCGTCCGGGGACGTTTTTGTTCTACTATGTTTGTGCATGTTTTGCTTTGCTTCATTTTTCGTCCAAGGTCCCCCTGTAGGGGGACAGCCCCGACCGAACGATGGGGGGAGGTGAGAAGGGGCGGGCCCTCTCAGAAGGCTCGGAAGTCCTCCGGCCTTCTGAGAGAAGTGGTCTGAATTTCAGAACGCCAGGAAGGGCTTCTGAGGAGCTCCGCCGCCTCCCGGGAAGGCCTTCTCCTCATCGATTCCCCCCCTTCGCTCGCCGCCGACTGAGAGGCGGGCGCGGGTGGGCCAGAGCCCTGATCGGCCGTGATCGGTGCTGACGGCCGTCGGTATCTCGAGTGCTGCGCGTGTCGTAGGAGCGTTGCTGCCAGAGCTTGTGTGGTAGCATCTTCACACCGCCTCTGCCGACCTCCCTGCCTGCGGAGCGACTGTGGGGGGGATCGTGGATGCCCCCTGCCCACATCGAGGCGAGTCGGACCCACCTGTTGTACGCTCGCCGCCGAGAAAAGGGACAGCCATCGATCCGTGCCACTCTTGCCCATCCGGCGCCCTTTTCGCCAAGACATGGCGGACAAGAAGCCTCCGCGAGAGCCACGGGGCGAGAAAGACATGCGCCCTCCGTCCGCGCCGCGGACGGCAGCATGCCGCACGAGCGCGCGTGGCTGGGAAGGGATACGCGCAGCTTGGAAAAAGACGCGCGTCCACCGTGAAGCCGTGGGGGATATTCCGACTGAGTGCGCGCGGCTGCAGGGCGCGAGCCGCGCTCAGACCTGGCGCTGAGGCGGCAGGAGCATTCAGATCGACGTCGCGGCGGCCACTCCGGCGGCCGCCGCGCCCGGTGGAAGCGGGGGCCGCGAAGCCCCCGGCTGGCAGGGGCGGCGAGCCAATCCAGGAGAATCCTGCCACAAAATAGCCGGGAGCGCTGCAGACGAGTCCGCGCGGCGATGAGGCGAGAGCCACATTGAGACAACCGTTTGTGTTCCATGCGTGCGATTGCTGGAATTTGCAAGTTGCAGGATCGCAGATGGTGGGAACCTCTCACACGAAACGCTGGGACCGCCTTATCCACACATCGAGTGGTGCGACGAGGACGAGTCACTTCCTGAGGAAAGTGGTGGAAGAGGAGGAGGGGCAGGAGGAGAAAATACATGAAGGTCTAGGGTCTAGGGCGCTATGCGAGGTTCTGAAGGGGGTTCTAGGGAACTCCACGAGGAAGAAGGAGAAGGAGGAGGAGGAGGAGGAGGGGTAAGCTCATGGGTTTGGGGGGACGCCCGAGCAACACACCTGTCCTCGATTTGGCGAGGGACCAGGGACCCTACCACATTGGAGTTCGCAGCGCCCGCGCAGAACAGATCCCAGCGACCGCACTTTCACTGAATACCCAATCCGAGCTTGCACGTAGGATGGAGAACAGAAGAAGGGTGTATTGAGGGGGGCGAGAAGGAGGAGGAGCAGGAGGGATTATGACGCTGATGGTGATGGCGACGACGACGACGACGACGATGACGATTGTGATAATGGCAACGACGATGATGACAACGATGACGACGACGACGACGACGACGATGCTGATGATGGTGGTGATGGTGATGGTGGTGGCGGTGACGATGACGACGACGACAGCGAGGAGGAGTTCTCACGGAGATCGGAAGGACTTGTCAAATTATGCAGACGATCTCCGTGGGCTGCAAGGGTCCTGCTTTCCTGGCTCCGGTCTCTCGAGTTCCCCACGCGGTTTGACGGCTTGGCGAAATTGTGCCTCTGATTCCGGTGAGTTGCCAGGTACTTGGGTCCGTTGTTCCAGATCTTGGTGAAAGTGTCCTGCCGATCCTGGTGTGTGGGAGGATTCCAGGGTTCCATAAGGAGAAGATATTGAAATAAAGGAAGCAGAGATGTCATGGATATTTGAGTAGGAGGTAGCGCGAGAGAGAGAGAGAGATTCTAGACGGTCGCGTAACCCCATCAGCCCATCCAGAAACGATGCCCAGGCGAGTTGACCTGATCAGGCATGCGAGGGAAGAGCACGCAGTGGAATAAAGGCTGGGAAGCCGTCATGGTTCAGGGGTCGAATCCCCCCCCCTGCGTTTTTAAGCAAATCGTTACATTGGTGTCGGGCCTCTCTCTCTCTCTCTCCCTCTCCCTCTCCCCCTCTCTCTCTCTTTCTCCCTCTTTTCCCTCTCTCTCCCTCCGCGCGGCCCCCGCCATTGTCATTGCCATTGCCAGTCGCTACCCCGTTACCTTACCGTTGCCATAACCATTACCGTTACCGTCACCATTACCATTCCCAGTACCATTACCATTACCATTGTCATTGCCATTACCATCACCATTGCCATTGCCATTCGCCACTACCATTACCATTGCCATTCGCCACTACCATTACCATTACCATTGCCATTGCCATTGCCATTGCCATTCGCCACTACCATTACCATTGCCAGTACCATTACCATTCCGATTCACATTCCCATTCCCAATACCATTACCATTACCATTACCATTGCCATTGCCATTACCATTACCATTACCTTTACCTCTACCTTTACCTTTACCCTTACCCTTACCATTCCCATTTCCGTCACCCCTACCACTGCCATTTCCATTCCCGTTCCCATTCCCATTCCCGTTCCCATTCCCATTCACATTACCATTACCATTACCATTGCCATTGCCATGGCCATTACCATTGCCATTACCATTCCCATTGCCATTGCCATTGCCATTACCGTTACCGTTGCCATTGTCATTGTCATTGCCATTGCCAGTCGCTACCCCGTTACCACTATCATTACCGTTACCATTACCAGTACCATTACCATTACTTCTGTCATTACCATTACCATTCGCATTGCCATTGCCATTTCCATTAGCCACTACTATTACCATTGCCAGTACCATTTCCACTGCCATTCCCATGGCCATGACCATTACCATTACCATTATCATTTCCATTACCATTACCTTTACCTCTACCTTTTTCTCTACCTTTACCTTTACCCTTACCCTTATCATTCCCATGTCCGTTACCATTACCACTACCGTTTCCATTCCCGTTCCCATTCCCATTCACATGCCCATTCCCGTTGTCATTCCCATTACCATTGTCATTACCATTACGTTTACAATTGCCGTTGCCATTGCCATGGCCATTATCATTGCCATTGCCATTGCCAATCACATTGCCATTACCATCACCATTACCGTTGCCAGTGTCATTGCCATTGCCATTGCCAACCACTACCCCATTATCGTTACCGTTACCATTACAATTACCAGTACCATTACCATTACCTTTGTCAGTACCATTACCATTACCATGACCATTGCCATTGCCATTGCCATTCGCCACTACCAGTACCGTTGCCAGTACCATTTCCGTTCCCATTCCCATTCTCATGGCCATTACCATTACAATTACCATTACCATTACCGCTGCCATTACCATTAGAATTCCCATTCCCAATACCCTTACCATTACCAGTGCCATTACCATTACCACTACCACTACCACTATCATTTCCATTCCCGTTCCCATTCCCACTCCCATGACCATTACCATTACCAGTACCACTGCCATTGCCATTACCATTACCATTACCATTACCACTACCTCTACTTAAAGTAGAGGTAAAGGTAAAAGTAACGTTTACCTTTACCTTTACCATCACCATTGCCATGGCCATTACCATTACCATTGGCATTGCCATTGCCATTGCCATTGCCATTACCATTACCATGACCGTTGCCATTGCCATTGTCATTGCCTCGCTACCCCGTTACCACGATCATTACCGTAACCATTACGAGTACCATTACCATTACCATTGCCATTACCATTACCATTGCCATTGCCATTGCCATTGCCATCCGAGGATTTCAGTAGGAATCGTTCAGCGGATGGTTCCAGTAGGAATCCACATGTGGAGGACTTCAGTAGGAATCATTCAGTGGAGGGTTTCGATAGGAACCCTTCTGTCGAGGATTTCACTTCCACCCAAAAGAAAAAATCGAACGACCCACCCACTCCTCCGCCTCCTCCGCTTCCTCCTCCGCCTCTTCCGCCTCCTCCTCCGCCTCCGCCTCCTCCTCATCCACCTCCGCCTCGGGCTCCTCCTCCTCCTCCACCTCCGCCTCGGGCTTCGAGGGTGTCGGGGGGGGGCAACAACAAAATCTGTTTGATTGTTTTGTTTTGCCCCCCCCCCCCACCCCACCCACCCCCTCCTCCTCCTCCTCCTTCTCCTCCTCCTCCTCCTCCTCCTCCTCCTCCTCTGCCTCCTCCTCCTCCGCCTCCTCCTCCTCCTCCGCCTCTGACCCCTCCTCCTGGGGAAGGGAGGGAGAAAGAGAGAGAAAGAGAGAGAGAGAGGGGAGCGCGAGAAGAAAGAGGGCGGAGGATGATATAATGAAATGGTGAGTTTCGCAGGGGGGATTCGACCCCTAAACCAGCCGTCATACCCCAAGAGGGGGAGAAAGAGGAGGAGGAGGAGGAGGAGGAGGAGGAGGAGGAGGAGGAGGAGGGGGAGCAAGAGGAGGAGGGGAGGAGGAGGAGGAGGAAGAAGAGGAGGAGGAGGAGAAGGAGGAGGAAGAAGAGGGGGAGGAGGAGGAGTAGGAGGAGGGGAGGGGAGGGGAGGGGGGAAAAGGAAAGAGGGAGACGGCGGCGGACGATGGCTGTGTCGCGAAGACGTGCTCAGCTCTAGCAGCTATTGTGAAAAACCTCTGGGCAACCTGGGGCAACACACAGAGGGAGAAGGGAGGAGGGAGGAGGATTAGGCGGATGAGGAAGAGGAGGAGGAGGAGGAGGAAGAGGAGGCCAGAGGCCTCTTGGATGTT